ATTCCTCCCTAAGGCAGCCAGGTGTTCTTTACTGTCCCCACCTGCAAACTAACAATGATGACCAGTCACTGGTGCCCACAAATATCCTTCTGGCTCTGCCCCACCCACATTGTCCCCCAGGTCCTGTCCCCAAAGCTCTGTCCCCTGGCTCTGTCCTGCCAGCTATCCTGCTCTGCTCTGTCGACTGTCTTGATAGCTCTGTCCCAGTGACTCTGTCCCAGTGACTCTGACCCAGTGACTCTGACCCAGTGACTCTGTCCCAGTGACTGTCCCTTCTATTTCCCCGACTCCGTCTCCCCAGCTGTCCCTCTGTCTGGCTCCGCCCCTCCTGTACGGTCAGCGAGCAGCACCATAATGAAGACATTGATATGTTTGGCCCGTGAAAGCGGGAGGGCTGGGGTTAAGGCAGGGGACCCACTGCTTCCTTCGACCCCCCTCCCCCCCACCCCCTACAGGGTGCTGGGGGGGGGGCAAAGTGAGTGACCAACACAAGGTTCTTCCAGCATCTCCTGTGGGGATGAAAGACAGCTAAACTGTTGTGACGGCTGAAGGGAACACGGGCTGCTGGTTTTGCCTGGGTATCCGTGCAGGTCTGGGGATGTGAGGGTGGGAGAGCGGAGATGTGCAGAGTGGGCGTGTGCAGGACTGAGCCTTATTCTGACAAGATGCTCTTTGTGATAATCTGTGTGTGTAGTGCCGGGATAGTGATCCGAGGGTCACCCCATGTGTCACCCCAGACGTCACTCCCAGTGTAATCTCCTGGGTCACCCGGTGGGTCTGTACTCAGACATCAATGTAGGTACCAGCGGTGGGGGGATGTAGGTACGCATTGGATGTGTCCTTCTTGATCTTGTGCAGTCTTCTTCTACCAGGGAAATGGCTTCCTGGTGGGGGGCAGCAGGACACCCTTTTGATTCCTGACGAGGCAGATCCGCTCCTAGAACCCGCGCCGTAGCCGGGCTGAACCTACGATGACGATTTGCCCATTAATCAAGCGCCGGGCTGGGGTGGGGTGGGCAGCTCTCAGTCAGCTCGCGTTTCACCCCAGCATCCAGGCCAGGAACCTGCAGTTCGGGGGCTGAGGGGTCTATCGCTCTATAGTTCCAACCTGGGGGGCACAGACAGCTGCCCCCATCTGTCGGTGGTGGGGTATGAGCCTCCCTGCTGTGGTGAAGGGTGTCTGACCCCCATGCAGGCCTGCCTGCTGCCCCCCCCCCCCCAGGGTAAACAGAAGCGGCCTGATGACCTCAGTGCCCCCGTGACAGTTGTTGTCACTGCACGTCACTGCATGTCACTGTGTGACAAGCTGGAGGAGCACTTGCTCCAGTCTGGAGGTACATCAGACATGGTGAACGCAGATGCTCCTTAGAGACCCCTAAACTGTGGCCCTTCTGGCAGAAGATTCTCCGATAGGCTCAGGAGGGCTTTTATTAAAATGAATTTAGCTTCGGGCATTGGTGGATGGCCAGGTTTTTACATCTGCTATAAATTCATACGACCAGATTTAAGACACCTTCCTGTAAAACAAGGATTTCTTATTGAAAAGGTACTGTGCCAGTAAACGATGACTAAGACTCTTGGTGGTTTAAAACCTTTGAATGTGGCCTGCTCAGGACCTGTTGCTTACAGCAGAATAAATGCTGTAATATCATATTCACAACATGTTTTTAAAGATCAAACATAGATAAATATGAACAATAGGGCAAGCAAATGAAAGAATTTGAGAAATGGCCTGAAACTAGTCCTGGTTTCACGGCGTGTGGTTACGATTGGCCCTAGTGCGAGAATGTCACTTAAAAGCTGGACGGGGACATTTGGGCGCCTATAGGGACACATCCCTGCGTGCGAACCCTCGACAAATACCCCCATCATTCTCATCTCTTTTCATCTGCGAGCAATTAGGTTGCGCCAAACAACTTGTGAAATCAAATGTTCCTCTGCAAAGATAAGCTGGTTTGCTGCCGACGCGGACATGGGTGCGAGCAAAGAGGAAAGGCGTAAATAAAACATTCAGCTGTGTGACTCACTTTGAAGGGAGATTTCTCTTGTGAAAGCTAACAGAACACAGATTTTTGGAATACAGGGAACAGAAAAATGAAATGTCTAGGACATGCAGCTTTCAAATCTTTGGACTGGGCTGCTTTGTGAATCAAGGCCATTATTTCCGACAGGTCTTCCAGGAGCTACTCGAAACCGCTGCAGGGGTAACTTGGACGGAGTTGTATGTGATTGTTTGCTAGTTTGCAAGAAACAGGACATGAAAACCAGCAGGAACCCAGCTGAGCAAGTCCCTTCAGGATAACACATCACAGAGCTGTCGGAGCAGCAGACATCAGTGTTCATGCACCCGGTGTCAGTCAGTGAACTTTACTCGTCTGTGGTGTGGAGTACCGGTGCACCATGGGATGTTGGGGAGGGGGCAGGAATGCAAGGATGGGTTTCCCCAGGGGGCTGAAATGCTAAATCTAAATATGGAGATGGTTACCCTGCGAGTGTAGGTTACCGGGCCAGCAAACGACAGGGACAAATTCTCACCTGCTTTTTGCATCTGTATGCCACCTTTTGAAGCCGTTTACAGTTTCTAGGCATGAATCCCTTGCAGGATGACCCATCGGCTGACTAGGAAGAGGTGGTCAGTGTCTGAGGGTATATTCACGCTAGGCGATCCGTACTGTGCACGAGCACGTTTGGCCCCCAAAGTCTCGTTCATCTGACTAGCAGGATCACTCCGTACCGTACACTAAATCGAGCCAGGCCTGCTTTAAAGGTGGGCCCAGGCATGGTTCAGTTGGACTCGGGCATGGTGCACATCTATACTGCGATCGCCAACACAGACATAACATCAATGATGTGACTGGCACTCACATGTGCACATGTACACTATACATGCACCAAACCTGGAAAGAATGGACTGTACAGATTGGGTGGCGACAAACATTCACCAAACATTGTTGGAAAGGGATGACTTTGGTCTACAACAGAGGTGCAGAGTTTGCTGGAAATTTAGGCTGACAAGAATATCAAGGAACAAATGGATGCAACAGACAAAAACGCAGAGATATTTTGTAAAGTCAGGGAATCTCTTCAAATACGTGCAGCACGATTAAATGAAAATCACCGTGTTGCATGCTCCATAAATCTATGAGGGCCGTTTGTCATCACGCCCAAAACGACACAAAATAAGGACTTTATTCATGAACTCCATTGTGCTGTGCGATAGCTCTTTTCTTCCTATCAATTCTTCAACACAAAAAAATCACAGAGTGATGACAAAAGCGCAGACCAGCGGGGGAGTAGGGACAATCATACTCGGGCACGGTACAAGGCAACCAGGCCAAGTGTGAGTACACCCAGAGATGACAGTGAAGGCATGAACTGGGCGCCTGACTTGTACTTGGCGAGGCTTGTAAATAAACTTCAGTTTCTCTGTGGTATCGGACGATGGCACCAGGAGTGTCTCAATATAAAGTTTCATGTTCAAATCCATGCAGACCGACAGATTTTTGCCCCAAAAATTTTCTTTGGATTAATAACAAATATATAAGCTAAAAATAAAAAAATGCACAGGGTTTACTGACTTCTGCACGTATCTTCAAAAAGGGAAAATTTAAATCTTGCTGTAGCTTTCACAGAACATGAAAATATTAAACATGGGTCCAGCTGACATGGTGAAGGTCTGGTTTGCCCCCCCCCCCCCGCCCCCATGGAAAATAAGGGCCTAGGCCAGCATTACTGGGAGATCCTGTACAAAACAGAGGGTGCTCACTTTGGGTTCTTATTTTGTTAGGCCCTGCTGTTACACCCATGAGCATTGCGCATAGCCTAATCTACTCCCGGAAAATACACGGTCGTGTAAATGGGTCTGGGATACTGTCCACGGATAAAAACAATACGATAAGAAGCAAAGTATAAATGTATTCCAAGAAGAAGAAAGGATGTTCCTCCCAAGAGCCAGAAGAGCAGCCAAATTATGCTACAGGGATCGTTATTTTTCTCCATTTCGATCTGAGCTTTGAAGTGGAGGCTGAGCCAAGGCTCAAAGGGCAGAGTATCTGACCTAGAATGAGATGATGACACTGCAGTAACAGCTGAGCCGAGCAAGTTATACAATAAGGAGAAGCTTCAGTTCAGTGAGTGTTTGGCTTTGTGTGAACGAAGCGCTCCGTCCGAATGGCGTAGGAGCCGAACGCCTTAGCGGACGCTGTAATCCACCAGAGAGCAGCAGCCTTTGTGAGCCTCTGGCCGGCCTCAAAGGAGAGAGAGGGAGGGAGGGAGGCAGAGGGAGCTAGTGGGGGTGGCGGGTGGAGGTATGGGCAGGGTGGGGGGTGTGACAGGAACGGGGGAGGGGGCCCCTTTGTGAATTTAGGCAGTTAGATTTGGGTTTAACTTCCCCTGTAAGCCCTGCTTTTATGACAATATGAACCTAGAATAGTTTTAAATATGTTAAGACCATTTCGTTTAACCAAGTGTTTTATTTAGCTCTTGGCCACTTAACAGGCATTAAAACAGTACGGAGGTGCAAAGGACTGGGGAACCACTATTCTCACTTTGCGGGATCTGGCTGAACGCGGAGCCCCCTTTACAGACTCGGGAAGGTATTCAATCCTCATTGGCTTGTTTTTATTGGTGCCTTCGGGACTTGCTCACCGTGAAGCTGATCAGAAACTACTGAAAAACAGTTTGATCATACATACAGTCCAGGAACAGTTTCCACCCCACTGCAATTCGACAGCGCAACACAATGCAATAAACTTCATAAATGCACAGCACTCGTTACGGGACAGAACGACATATTGCACTTTTATATATGTACTTTTATATGCATTTTAAATATTTATAATTAATCTAGCCATATATCTTCTTCTTCAGCCGTTTATTATTTTGTATTTATGCCATAAATACATACCTCTGCGGTTCCCGTGTCTACCTTGATGTTGTGTAAGTGACTTTGTCTTTTTTTGTGCTTATCCTGCTGGATATGCATGCCATCAAGTGGATCGTGCGAATAAGCATTCATATGTACTGATGTATAAAAGGCAAATAAGGAATCTCGAAACTCGGCTGGACTCCCTTCGTTTGGTCATCGTCTGGGTAGTTTACAGGTGCCGGGGCTTCAGGGTGGGGCCGTCACTTGCTTACGGAAATAAACCTAATGAATGTGCGCCTGTTTCATAAAACTGATCAATGCGTTTGGGGTCATTTCCTCCGGGAGGGTTTGAACACCAGGACCAGGTGTGAGGTCCGCCCAGTGCCGCCCTCTCTGCCTTTTGTTTCTATCCTAATGCAGATGGTTCGGTCACTGGGGGTCCCGTTAGAAGTCTGATCCAGACCGAGGCGTGTCAGGGTTCACGGGCGTGAAAACACGTACAGGTCCAACCTGCCTATTAATCAATGGAAATGCAAAGCGCGTCTCCAGCTGTCTTTCATGAAGTTTAACTGCGTCCGATACCTTTTAACCAAATACAAACTCTTGCTTTTAATCATTTTTGCAGACGTGACGCGTTAAACCAAAGAAAACGTTTTTGGTTCGGGAAACAGAAACACACGTAAATGGCCCATCCTGCGGGGGGACAGTGTGCGCGCTGAGCCGCTTCGGTTGACTGACTGATCGGAGTCGTTTCTCCAGCAGCCCCCTCCTCCCCGGCCGGCAGACGGTGTGTGAGCGCCGCTCCGCTTCGCGTAAATACGCCACGGCTTTATGACTGTAACTCGGTGAGATTATGGTGTTTGCACGGTCGTTGCAGTGTGTGAGTGTGTTGGCGTATATATGCGAGTGCATATGTACATGTGCGCGTGTTTGCGGGCGGCCCGCACTCCCGGAGACCGAGGCTGGTCGGGGCGCAGACCGACTCCGCTATTCACCGGCACCTCCTACTTTAACACTGATCGCTATAATTTACTTCTTTCTCTCTCTTTTTTTAATTTCGCACCTCTCTACCCCCCCCGCTCTCCCCCCTCCCCCTGTCCCGTACCCCTCCCTCTCCTCCTCCCCCCAGCCCCTCTCCCCCAGGCTCAGGTTACCGTGGCCGGACTCTCCAGGCGCACAGCGGCGGTTCCCCTGTCCTTGTCCCAGCCTCCTGCCTCCCAGAGCCACCCAGCGGCCCCTCTGATTGGACCCCGGCGATCGGCGGCGCTGAGAGCTTCGGGACGTGTTTCAACAGATGGTTGGGGTTAGTGTGTCATCACACTGGAGAAAGGATTAGAGAGGGAAGGTTGCCTTCCAGGATCTGTGTGGTCCCCCAAGACTGAACCTTTATGAGAGGACCAGCCTGTGGGAACCAGAGGAGCCTCCATCCAGCGTCAGGTAGCTGTATAACCTTCACTGCTGCTGGGCACGTCTGTGATCGCGGGTCAGACTGAGCCGTCCACGCTCTTCAGAAGACACAAGAGTCTGTACGCTTAGCAGAGATCACTTAGCATTTTCTAAGCATGGCTAGGGAACAGAAAAGTCTAATTTTATTCACCTCTGTGTCTGAGCTTGTTGTAAAGTTGTAGTTTGATCACAGAAGCTGTGGGAAGCTGGGTGTAGTGTTTTAGTTTGTGACTGTGGACCTCTGCGTGCGTGGTCACCCAGGGGGGTGGTAACTGGTAAGCTGTTAATGGCTTTTATGGAGCTTCTGGAGGGTCATGAGGAACACTGCTGTCCCGTGGAGGAATGCCCTGTTTTCCCATCTGGGGGCCCACATTTGCGGGGGCCCACATTTGTGTGGCCCCGCGTGACACACGTCCGGCATGCGGCGGTCCCCTTGCACAGATCGCCGGCTGTTCCCGCGCGCACACTGAGCGGTCTGTGTCGCGATGTGCCCGCGCGTATCGCCCCCTTTGCTTCATGTTTCGCTTGTGTAAATACTTAATATCAGTCTTGTTTATATTCAGCACGTCCCGGCCAGGGCTGCCGGCCTGCCTGGTAAATGGCCGCGCTGTTCGCAGATGTCTTCGGGAGGCGCTGTCAGGTCGGCACCCTCCTGGGAAGCCCTAAATTTATGCCCCAGTTAAAGTATTTCGCCAGGGAGTGTGGGGTGGGGTGTGCGGGTGGTTTGAGCTCTGCCAGGGTGAGTGGAAATGCGATGTACAGCTGTTAGGATCTGCCGGTGGCCGCTGCGGGACTTGTTGGCCGAGTCGGTCCCCTGTCACCAAGCCGGACGGCACGTCAGCCTGACCTCTGACTGATGTCCGTGTTTGTATTTTATTGTATTTGATGTAGATTTGAGCAGCGATATGATAGTTGCGTAGTGCGTAACGGAGACCTGGTGTAGGTTATAATGAAGTATGAGATGATTGGCATGCGGGAGAGGATTATATCCCGTCTCCGGGAAACCGGGAGGGATGGGGGCTCGGGCCCAAATCATCTCCCTTTGACTACCAGCCATTTAAGGGGATCGTAGCAACCCCCCCCCCCCATGCAAAAATTAAGCCACACACATGGTACAACCCCCCCTCCCCAAAAGAGCTGAATACTGGGGGTGCTTTTGGGCTTTCAAATCTGCGTCATCCCTGTGAATATCTTTTCTGAAGGTGCTTTGGTGAAGGGCAAGGTTCCTCAGACATGAATTGGGCGTTTTCTCCTCTTACCCGGACAAAGATAGCCTTTTCCCAAGACCACTGCCTCTTTGGACTTGCAGAAATTTAAAATGGATTAAATAAGTCTGTTCTTTTAAAGGGGCCATTTAGTTCATTAGGAAGGAAATGATTTTATGTGATAGCGCTTGGGGTCGTTAACTTTATGGCTGTTGCTAAGCACACCCCCCTGCCCGGTTACCGCGGGTCCAGGAGGCCGTCCATGGTGACCTGGCGTGTGTCGTTGTCCCGTTTGTCTGTGGGGGCACTAAATACTCTCACAGTTGTGTGTTGATGTTGGTTGGTGGGGGGGCTGGTTTGGCATCGCCAAACATGAACAAATAGCAGCAGCAACCGCAAATCACCGGCCGCTCCCGCCCTCTCAGTGCCAACACAAATATTGTTTCAGGAGTTCCCCTGTGGTCACTTGGGTTTGCTGCCCTGGGAGACCATCAGGGAGATATGGGGTGTGGGTGCTGTCTGGACACGCAGGTGGTGGTGGGGGGGGGGGGGGGGGGGGGGGGGGGTGTGGCCTGCATATTCACATGCATGTACGTGACAGTGGGAACACTGGGCTGGTTTAATTGGCCACGACGTCTGAATGCCCCTCTGCACTCCGAGCTGGAATGGGACCCGTGTCTTTCTGTCTTTACCCAGAATCCCCATGGGTGGCTCGCAAAGCCATTTCTCACGCTGCTACAGCATTTTAATCATTGAGTACTTAGTGTTAGAGCTGAATGATTGGGGGGGTATCCTACCCCCCTGCCTGTCGTTCTGCTGTGTTTTTCATCTGTGGCGTGTTCAGAGCGAGATGCTGTGTTCAGGCGGTACCGCAGCCCGTGTGCAGCGGGGGGAACTCCTGCTGATACCGGGCCCTCCTGCTCTCTGGCCGGGTTCGGCTCTGTCCTCGCCATCCGCTCTGGGCTCTCAGGGATCTGGTTTGGCCTTGGGCCTCTGTGGCTTTTGCTGTAAAGTATGGCTGGCCGCTGTTCCCTCATCCCAACCTTGAACCGCGATCCCACCACCGGCGCTGAGAGCCGGGATGGTCACGGTTACGCGTGGACTGCGTGTTCTGGCTCTTTCTGTCAATTTCAGCTGCTGGGATCCCACCCGGCCTCATTCCTTTGTATGCTGAGGAGGTCACAACAGCGCCCCCCAGTGTCTGCTCATCATTGATGCAGGAGACATGCAGCCGCTGCTGCCTAAGGAAGCATCTCCTGCCTCTGCCTGAATGGGAGGCGCCATCCTCAATCCCGCTGCCTGCTCCGTTGTCTCTTGGTTGGTTGTCTGGTGAGGTGTACTGGTCCCCTCTAGGGTGCAGTTTGGAGTGAAATGATCTGTTTGCAGTTTGAAAAGTGACAGACCGCCCACTGTATCTCAGACAGGCTACTCCTGGGGGAGGGGGCTTTTTAAAATGGGGGGGGGGGGAGTCAGTGCTTTCATCCCAGAGGGCAGCTTACTCACTATACAGCATTAAAAATGCCCACCACCCATATTTTGTTCA